ATTAAACAATTACCATGGGACAACCTGAATATATTATTCATACCCAACTTTCCCATCGTGCCATGTGCATACATATTAGTCACAATTAGCACTTGATTTTAGGCCACATATTTATAAAATATGCACTTGTACCGTGCATTTCTTATGGGGAATCTATTGAATAGGCATGGAATTAACAATATAAATTTTAATTGGTGTCGCTATATGTTCCTATTTTTTGTTACATAATTATATGTGACAACATTTTATTTTCGTTCATAAAGAATTTTTTCTCATAAATAAATAAATAACTAAACAAATACATAAAGAAAAATAAATGTACTACATAAAAAGTTATTGAGACAACACAAAATAGTTTTTCTACCAATAAAAACAGATTTATCTTCCATCAAAAGTCTTTTCTGAATAGATTGGCACAAATGTATAATATATAATGTGCACAAACAAAAAAATTAAGATATTGACTACAGGATCGTCCTTTATTGCCTGTTTTTAAGGTATGAATTATAATATATGCACGTGGCATATGTTTGTAATATTTTAATCCCGCGCCGCGTGTATATATTTTATTCACGCTTCTATTATATATTGTAGTTTATCTAAGTATTTACTTAAACTACTTTATTCCTAAAATGTAAAAACAGACTTAAATTTTTAGAAAAACTACTACGGCTCAGCAGACCCGATCACATCATTTGCTTCGGCAGTCAATGTGTTTTAAATGCTTTTTTACTCATTTGTTGTTTAATTTGTATTTAGTTATTATTAATTCAAAAATGCTTATTTTTCTTATGGATTAATCGAAAATGCACACGTAATTTTTATTAATAATTGAAAATAGTAAAATTTTATGATTAATTTATTTTTTCTTATAAAAACATTATCTCAGCAATATGTCATAAGTTGCATACACACAGTATGTCTATGTAAGTTGACAGCATATAGAAAACTTTTTTATTATTCATTTTACGAAAAAAAGTTATTCTTCATAAAAATTTATGTATGGTCTAACAGAAAATGCAACCACTCGATATCAAATTTTATGAGTCGGTTTTACAAGGTTTGTCAAAAAATATGATTTTGCTCAAGACAAAATACCTTTCTTTTCGACAAACCCTGTATACGACTGATAAAATTTGATATCAGATAATTGAATTTTACAACAATATACATTTTAGACCATGCTTAAATTTTTATGTAAAGTAACTTTTTTTTTTCTAAAATTAATATTAAAAAAAAATCAATGTGCTAAGTTAGCGATATATGGAAAACCTTTATTATTACCCTTTAGGGAAGAAAATATTCTTCATAAAAGTTCATATCTAATACCTAAAATTTTAACCATCTGATATCAAATTTTATCAGTAGTATACGATGTTTGTCAAAAAATATAATTTTGCTCAAGAGTAAAGTTATCTTTATATTTCATAAACCTTATATACAATTGATAAAATTTGATATAATGTGACCATATTTTAGGTTTTAGACCATGCAATTGTTTATGAAAAATAAGTTTTTTTTCTTAAAATTCTTAAAAAAGTTTTTCGTATGCCGCCAACTTACATATAAATGAGATTAAATTTTTTGAAAATAATTTTTACTGATGCAGATCTAAATAAAGTATTGTGGGTAAATAAGGTAATAAAAACACTTTTTTATTATATTTTAAGTAATAAAAAAAAGTAATAATAATAATAATAATAATAATAATAATAATAATAATAATAATAATAATAATAATAATAATAATAATAATAATAATAATAATAATAATAATAATAATAATAATAATAATAATAATAATAATAATAATAATAATAATAATAATAATAATAATAATAATAATAATAATAATAATAATAATAATAATAATAATAATAATAATAATAATAATAATAATAATAATAATAATAATAATAATAATAATAATAATAATAATAATAATAATAATAATAATAATAATAATAATAATAATAATAATAATAATAATAATAATAATAATAATAATAATAATAATAATAATAATAATAATAATAATAATAATAATAATAATAATAATAATAATAATAATAATAATAATAAAAAAAATAAAAAAAAAAATATCGTTTATTGACCACATTTACATACTTGTGTGTACATTTGAAGTCACAATTACAATTACAATTTTCTAGTAGAAATTTTAACATATTAAAAATATATATATACATACAGAAAATTAATTAAAATTGAAAATTTACATATTTTTTATTTATACATCACATATTTTATTTTTATAAATTTAGTTGCGTTACTAAAATTAAAAAATTTTATTTTAAATGTTACAATAAAAGAGAAAAAATACAAAATTAAAAACAATTAAACAAAACTTGATCTTCTTGTAAACATAAAATATTCCGCTGTTGAGTAGAAACAGTGCTCCAATAAAAAATCAGTAACAAATTTTTTAAAACTGTATATGCTTAAGCTTCGTATATTTTTCTGATGATGGAAATTAATAAAGCAATTATATATGTCTACATTAGGTTTGTTATTTTGTGTTGTAGATAGTCTTGAATATGGAATTGCAAAATTCTCCCTGTGCCTTGTGTTATACGTGTGTAAATCCATGTTTAGTGGTACCTGATAGTGTTTTTTGTGTATCCATAGTAATGTCTCAAGTATATATACACAGGGAAGAGGGAGAATTCTGCAACTCTTAAAGAGTGGTTTGCAGTGAGTACCATAGGGGACACCGGCAACAATTCGTACGGCAGCTTTCTGACAGCTAAAAACTTTATGTAAAGCACTGCTTCTACCCCAAAGCAATGTACCATATTGTAAGTGGCTATGCACCAGAGCAAAGTATACCGACCTACACGCGTTTTTGTTTAAACAGTAACTTATTCTACGAAGAACAAATGTTTGTGAAGACAATTTAGCACAGAGAGAATTAGCATGTGCGACCCAGTTTAAACCACTATCAAGAGTGACACCCAGTAATTTCACAGGTTCGGATTTTGCTATCCATTTATCTAAACTGAACAAGATGTTATTAGTCTTACTTTCGTTAAGTTTTAATTTATTAGCCATAAACCAATTTTTTGCCAAAACTAAATGTTCATGGTTTGTAACAGAAACCGTTCTTGATAAAAGTGTTGTATCGTCAGCGTACAGAATGCAGTCATTCAAGCCAAGTGTTTGTGGTAGATCATTTATAAATAACAAGAAAAGAATAGGTCCCAAGACAGATCCTTGTAGCACGCTGGTGATAACTGGTAAAATGTCGGAGTTCTTGCCTTGAAGACTAACGTACTGCATCCTGTTCGTGAGGTAAGACTCTAACAGTTTATAACTACTATCCCGTATACCGTAATATTCTATTTTCATTAGTAAAAGTTCGATATTAACGCAGTCGAAGGCCTTCGTTAGGTCACACATTGTCGCGTGAGTGCAATACCTGTTATCCAGATCTTCGACTACGCGTTCAATTAGAGCAACAACCGCCTTAATTGTTGATTGATTTTGTCTAAAACCAAATTGCGCCGGACATAAAATCGATTTATTTTTGAGATAAGAAAGTAATTTGTTTTTAAAAATAGTTTCAAAGATTTTGGATATAATAGGGACAATAGCTATGGGACGATAATTATCTGCATCATCTGTATTTCCCTTCTTATAAACAGGGACCAACTTTGATATTTTTAGAGAATTTGGCCAAATACCCTCCTCAATAAACTTATTGAATAATATAGTGAGAGGAGTAGTTAAAACCCCGATAGCAGCTTTTATCATTTTACTATTTAATGCGTAATGGTCCATGGAGGCGGAGTTTTTTAATTTTAGAATCGCTTCTCGTGTATCTTCTTCCAAAATTCCAGTAAGGAAGAATGATGATGCAGGCTTAGGCTGTTTATTAAGAAATTCTAGTGGATTTAAAGCAGTGACATCAAAGCTATCAGATATTTTATTTGCAACTTGGGAGAAGAAATTATTAAGCTCATCAGATGAAAGAGCAGACACAACTTCGTTACTCTTTGTTGACTTTCGCGAACTATTTACTAGATTCCAAACTGTTTTTGATTTATTATCAGATGTCTCAATGGATTCTATATACGCTGATCTTTTTGCATCGGAGATTGATTTACGATATCTCTTTCTAGTTTGTTTGTAATTTAACCAGTTAAGTTCGGAGTTATTAGCATTAAACATTCTTTTACTATCAGACAACTCATTTCGCAAACTTCTTATCTGATTATTAAACCAATTTAAACCATTAGATTTCTTTTTAATATTTTTTAAGGGAAAACTCTGTTCAACACATTCAGAAAGAGTTACTAATAAATTGTTGGCCATATCAGACGCGCTCAAAGTCTCACAGTTTGCAGTAGTACAAGTAACCTGATAATAAAGAAACAAACTTTTCTAAAGAGTTTTCGTTAATTGTTCTCTTTAAGCACCTGGTAGTGTCTGTTCTTTCGTCAAATTTTACTCTCGCGTAAACCGCCAAATGATCAGCAATCATTGTATCACAAATACCTGTTGATATATTAACACAGTTAGCATTATGAATTATATTATCAAGACGACTCTGTGTTGTAGACGTAATTCTTGTCGGTTCGTGTATACTATGCTCGAGTCCAAACGTTCTTAAACAATTATTTAGGTCTAAAATAAAATCATTATCACAGTCAAAATCTAAATTAAAATCACCTAATAAAATGAGATTTGAGTACTTTCTGAAAACGGAGTCAATTAATTTTAAAAAGCACTCTTTAAAAATGTTAGGATCTCCACAACTCGAAGAACGATAAACAGCTAATACAAATGTTTTTGCGTTCAAAATCTCAGCCGCACAGAATTCGGCATGAAAGGGACGACAATATTTATTAACATCAATGCCCTTCATTCGAACCCCATGCCTAGCATAAATCGCAACGCCGCCGCGTTTTCTACTTTCACGACAAAAATGTGATACTATATTGTAATTACTAATATTCACAGTTTTTAAATTAGATTCTGATAGCCAATGTTCAGAAATACAAAATATATCAAATGGATTTTTACACAAATAAATAAGTAGTTCGTCCACTTTGTTGCTAATACTTTGGACATTAATGTGGAGTATAGAGTATTCAGAGTTACCCGAATTAGAATTTTCATGTAACAAATCTTTACGTAATGGATCTTCTAAAGAGGCACTAGTCTTTGAACCCGATAAGTTTTTTTGATGGAAAAAAATGATTTAACACTACTCCATAGGGCCATATTTTGCTGTCCATTAGGGCCTGAGACTCATCTGATGGTAGAGAGATCTTGAAGGATGCATAATCATCGGGGCGTCGAGCGTTAAGTTTTTCAACTTTAACGTTTGGAGCGAACTGTGCCAGGTGCGAAGACAATTCCAGGTCCGATGTATTTACTTCAAAATTAGTGGCATGATAGGAATTTACTTTTGACTTATGGACTAACGGAGGCTCGAAAGCCTTTTGTGATGCTCTAAGTGAGCATTCTCCAGAATGTTGTAAAGTTCCCACCAATAAGCTTTTTGTGCTTCTTTTATTATTATTGTCTCGAGTTGTGTAATTTTGTGAATTTCTATGCACAGATCTCTGATGGGACATTTGGTGAGCAAAGTAAGTAGGCCATTTTGGAGTATTTGAGGGATTTTGATCTTGACTGGAATCATCATTTAAATTTATAATGGAGTTGCAAACTCGAAGTGTTTCAGCGTTATGCAAGGCTTGTGCCACAGATGTTTTAGGAATGGTATTATTTTTTTTGTCCGTTTGAACAGGGTGTTGACAGATGGGTTTTCTATGCTCATCAGTTCCTGAGTGATCATGGAGTGTATCTTCATGTGGTGTAGGTACAGAAAACAGAGGGATCATATGCTTTAATAGGTCAACTTGTTGAGTAAGTGATTGTATAGCTATTACTTGGTTGGCTATAGTTCTCTCTTTTTCTTCTAAAATTTTCTCCAGATATGTGATTTTTATAGCATCTACATTTAAAATCGTATCAGAAGAATTATTTTTTTCCATTAGTTTTGGCTCAGAAATGTTTGAACTTTTATTAGT